ATGGGAGAGTATACTTCTGCTAACTGTTCAGTTGCTCCAGACTCTGGATCTGCTTCTTGCCTGCTAATTGTCTGATCAGCAGATCATCCAACTTGATATCATGAGTCTCTTAATTTTCTTGCATGCTGTAGCTTGCAGTACACCATACACATGCTGCCTCTTTAACTTACATTGTACTTAAGAGTTGCATAAAAAATTTTCGAAGCTAATCTCTTACTTGGCTATCACAAGCAATGCCTGGGTGTTTTCTGTCAGAGACTCAAGAACTTGTGAATTAATAAGCTTTTTGTTTTGAAATAGGTTTGGCTATAGTCATGTTCCCTACACCCCCAAGCCCGAAACTGAACTACGTGCTTTCTGATAGCTTGTTCATGCAAGCAGTCCTTATTGCTACTAGCAGGATGCACAATAAAGAATCTTGCACTGCAAACACTGCAGCATTTCTAATGTAACTTGAAAAAACAAAACAAAAAGAAAAAGCCCCCAGAACAGCAACAGAAAACCAAACCAGATATCTGAGAGTTAAAATTCCTTCTGTTTTGAAAATGTATCTTGTATTATCTGATCCATGCACATCTTTTCTTCAAAACACATAATATATTTAAAAAGCAGATTTCTGAAGTGGTAGCTGTGGCATGACATATAAAGACACCACATACATATTCGTGCACTGTTAACAGTGCTTGTCTAAGAAGCGTGTTAACAGTTGCTGTTAAAACTCGTGTTTAGAATATCAGGAGATATGGGTACTTTTTTCACACATAAGTGCTACGTAACTTTTTTATATGCTTCACAAATACTAATGCTTTTCATAAAAAGTTCATGGATACCCGAAACATCAGCCTTCCACCTTCTTGTCAACTGTACATTCCCTTCTTTCTCTGCCCCAGCCCATGTAATCTCTTTTTGAAAGCACGCCAGAGTAGATTTAAAAAAAAATAAAAATATATCATCATGGGTAACTGTGAGTGGTAACAGAATGGTGAGATGACGCTTGTCAAAATTATTTTATCCAAGGAAAACAATTGCATTGTTCTGGGGGGTTGTGTGTGGTGGTGTTCAGCCTGGAGAATAGAAGGCTCTGGGGAGACCTTAGAGAGAGCTTCCAGTACCTAAAGGAGCCTACAAGAAGTCTGGAGAGGGATTTTTCACAAGGGCGTGTAGTGACAGGGCAAGGGGGAATGGCTTTGAATTGAGAGAGTGGAGATAAAAATCTTCCCTGTGAGGGTAGTGAGACGCTGGCACAGGTTGCTCAGAGAAGTTGTGTCTGTCCCACCCTTGGCAGTGTTCAAGGCCAGGTTGGATGAGGCTTGGAGCAACCTGGTCTGGTGGGAGGTGTCCTTGTCCCTGGCAGCAGGGTTGGAACTAGATGGTCTTTAAGGTTCCTTCCAACCCAAACTGTTCTGTGATTCCATGATATACAAGATACGACGATCTTTATATGTGTTCTCATGAAATGTGATACATGGAATATGCTCAGTAATTGGTAATTTGCTTTTTTTGTTACAGAATATGAATGAGCAGTACCTGGGAGATCTTTTTTTTGATACCTCACTGATGATTTGGTCTGTAGCATTGGCTATGATTACTCAGATGGGCCTTTGTTCTGCATTCGTTTGTACATTATGGGTAGCATTTCCTTTACTTGCTAAGCTGATGATCCATAAAGAATTCAGCCAAAAAGGTATGAGTTTGAGGGGAGGAGGTTGTATTTCGAAACCTGTGTTGCTACAGCACTATTTAAGCAAAAGAAATCCCAAACTCGAATTTGAATATTCAAAGTAACTGTGTGTACATTTTTGTGACAAGAAGAAGTGTTCTTGAACTAAAGACAGTTCTTTCAAAAAAATACACTGAAAAACATCCTGTGTCTCAGGCTAAAGAGAACAACTCTTTGTGGGGTAATTAATAAGTGATTTCATACTTTGAGGGACAGTAAAGATTGTTAGAAAATGCTGTAATATTCAAACATTGTTTGGGACGGAACACCTGTTTATTTGGTTTTTTGTAGTTTTGTGGTGTTTTTGGAAGAGTTACACTGGCATTGGCTATGCAAAATGAGATCCTCTTTCCATATCCATGTCAGGGAGGATGACCAGTACAGTGTACTGGGCCTTGCACCAGTGTATGAATGGGTATATTGGTAAAGCTGCGTGTTTATGGCCTTCCAAACTTTGATGGGTTCTTTGTTTTTTGTTGGTTTTTTTTTCCCCCTGTACCCTATAGGTGCCACGATGAAGTTTGTGACAATGTACATGCTGGGAATGTTTGTTCCCTATGTGTACATGATGTATCTAAGTTGGACTGTGTTTGAAATGTTTACACCTATCATGGGACGAAGTGGTTCAGAAATTCTGCCAGATGTGGTGTTGGCAGGATTTATTGTGATCATGACTATGATTCTGTCATCCTATTTTGTAAGTAGAACTTGTAAATGTTGTTCGAAACTTTTAATTTTTTCTAGAGTTTTTTCTAAGTTAGTATTTGAAGTTAACAATATTTTGACAATATCTTAGATGTTACAGGAAACTAACAGGAAATATGTCAATGATTCCATGTTTTGTGTTAGTAAAAAAAAGTCGTTGAGGCAGGAGTTACAAAAATATATCTTCTCTATAATGATGTAGTAAATATTGTTGTAAAATACGCAATTTAATGCATATTTAAGGCATTTGTTTTATGTCAAGTATAGTGTGTGGCTGCACTTAAAAAAAAAATACCTCAGTATTCTTTTTCTCTGCTGTGCTTGTACAAAGGTTCTAGGTTTTTGTTGGCAAATGTTTGTAAAAATAGGAAGCTTTTGAAGGCTCGGGGAAGTACTCGCTTTATTCCTTTTGGTTTTCAATACTAAGATTACAAAGAAGTGTCTTGTGTCAGGTAGTACTTGCAGTGATATCTTTTTAATATTCTTTCAGTTCCATAATTGGATTTTAGAGTTACACAGATAGTGTCTTAAGTCTTGTAGTTTTATAACTGGGCTGTCTTTTTATTCTCTAGATGAACTTCATTTACCTTGTCAAAAGCACAAAAACGACGCTAATAACTTTAACTGCTGTGTTTGTAGTCACTCTGATTCTCGTTTGTAGTGGAATCTTCTTTCCTTACAGTTCTGACACTGCTAATCCAAGGCCCAAGCGAGTCTTTCTCCAGGTAAGAAGAGCCTTGCATATTCTATTGCCTCTATTGGTTGCTAATGTTTCTGTTGTTCAATCTCTGTGTTTAGTTCATCTGTGTCAGAAGAGTAGGGCCTTTTATAGGGGGGTTTAAGTGGGAGAGTTGAGTAAGCAATGATAATTTAAAAAGCAAACCTGATGGAAGGTGAGCAAATACGTACAGGCACAGTCATCTTCTGAATGTAGGTGGCTTATGATATGTTTCTTTCATCTGAGTAATTCTCTCTATGTAATTATAAATACTCATATACATGTTTAGTGCATACTGAAAGTGCAGTAGACCTTAAGGACTGACATAGAGGGTAATTCAGAATCACTTCTGACTCTTGAGACCTGCACATGCTCCATCATCTTTTTGGTTTTGTGTCTGTTTTTTCTTTTTGTCTTCTAGCACACAAGCAGAAGATTTCATGATCTAGACGGAAATGTGGTTAAAAGTGACTCTGGTATATGGATTAATGGATTTGATTATAATGGCATATCTCACATAACTCCCCATGTGCCTGAAATCAATGACACCATTAGAACTCCATGTGAGGAGCGGGCACCTTTCTGTGGCCTTCCTTGGATTCTACCAGTGCATTTCATGTTCCGGTTGGTGTGAACACTGCATCATCACTTGAGCACTTACTGCCAAAGCACAATTGGTCATTTATGCAATCTCACTCATGTAAGGGAAGAAAAAGTAAGGCTAATCTTGGTATAAAAGTAAATAATTGTTCCACTTCAGAAGACAAACTTCTGTCTAGGTGCAGTGTCTTCTGCCAGAATCTCTGGAAAGAGATTGCTAGTCTGCTGCAGGAGCTGGAGAAGTTGATGTATGGAAAATCAGTGTCAGCATCAGTGGAGAAAAAGGTGAAGGAGGGGGCTTCTAAAGGGCAGTTAAGAGTATGTCTCTCCCCTCCTTCCTCCCCTCACCTCAGCTGACTGCAGAGGAAGTCTAGAATAGCTGCTCTCCACAGAGGAAAACTAGTTGCTGTGACTATTTCGTATAGCCTAAGAATCTTGTGAACAAAACGTACCAGTTTGAAGGTGCAAATACTCTTTATTGTTCTGTAAATTAAGGCATACAAAAGTAGTGAATGAACACACTGGTGACTATTTTTCTATTAATGTACCGTTTCAGTATCTGCTGGCCACAAGCTGCTGATTTTACCTGCCTTCTGCTGGAATCAGTAGCTTTTGAATATTTCATTTAGTAACAGTGCAGTCAGCTATATTATACACAAACTTAACACTTTTTTTCAACACAGGAAAAACTGGTACCTTCCTGCTCCAGAAATTGTTCTGAGAAGCCCAGTTCACTTTAAAGTTCTGTCCCGGGAGCTGATGCCCCAGAACTCCGTGAGGTTAAGCTTTGAAGTATCTGGTGAGAGACTGAAACTTCTGGTTTGTGATTTGTTTTTATTTTTCATGCCTGTAATAAGTCTGGTTTTGACTCCAAGACTGCAGGTTCCAGTGCCATTCCCAAGATAGTAAGATTTGTGAGATTAGCATGAATTAATGCAGTTTCGTAACACACTAGAAGCTCTGGGTGTTGTGTTGCAGTTGTTATCTGGGACACTGATAACCTTGTCTATTTTGAGTAAGCCCTTGATCTTTTTACTGCGAGTCCTTTCTTAGTCGTTTTATAGCTCTGCCCCTCTCCTATATGATCATCTCATTTATCTCACTGCTTATAAATAGTTTAAGCTTCTTCTGTAGAGAAGACAGCCTTAACATGTTTTGGGAGGCACAAGTAGTAATACACAGGTAACGTGCTACTATGTAGGAAAATAGATGTTTATTTTGCCTCTGCCTGTTGATACATCTAGATACCTACCCGTGTCTCTGCAGGTCCCAGTCACATGTCTCTGTATGTTCGGCCACACGAGGGCTCAACTCTGTCCACCTGGTCTCTTGGGGACGGTGTGCCGGTTGCTAGCTTAGGAGGAGACTACTTTGTGTTTTACTCCCACGGGCTGCAGGCTACGCCATGGCACTTCTGGGTAGAGCTGACGGTGAGTATGCTGCTGCTGGGAGCCGGTGAGCCTCTGGTCTGCCCTGGTGTTACCTTTGCTTCATTCTTAGGTGAAAAAAGCTATCTGAAGCTGTGTTTGATAGATCCTAATTCTATAGCTTTCATCATTTACTTTGTTCCTGAACTTTACATATCAGCTCACACATATTTTTGATGCTTAGTCTGCTAACTTGCCAAACAGACAAAGGGAAAACGTGATCATGTCTTAGGTTAGTTTGGATTTCTATGATCTCAACCTCCTAGTTCTTTAAGTTTTATCTCTTACTGTTATTTCAGAGTTAGTTTTCCTATTGTGAATAGTTTCTTTTTCATGTATTTTGTTTGCTCAGTTTTTGGAAATTACAGGGAGTGTCTGGTGGGAAACTCACCTGTCTTGAAGCTGAAGACTTTTAAAAGCTTTGTTTCATAAATTGTATTTTATATTATTTTCAGTTGGAAGCAAGGCTTCCAGCATTGCTGTTCCACCAGTGGGATTTAAGATAGTCCTCCCATCTCCCCCAGTGCTCCAGCAAAGACCTTTTCACAGTGCTATATGGTTTTCATTATAGGTTTAAGTGTCCTATTCCTTGAGTAAATATTACAGGAATCTTTGAAAATTCCTTGTTCCTCCCTGGAATGCTTAACCAAATCATAATAAGTCTAAATGCTTAACCAAATAATACTCTGAGGGTACTCGATAAATGCAGACAGGAATCTGCAGTCTGACAAGCTATGCAAGATTGATAGTAGCAAAGCTAGGCAGAGCAGGCTTTTTATCCTAAGGATTCACAATAGGGGTATCGGCATATAGACTCTGTTGGAGTCCGTGTCTTGATTTGTCAGCAAAACCAATAGCTACAAATGTTGAAGTTAGAAGATGTGTGAGATACATAACATGTCAGAGGCACTGTTACCTAAATACCTAGTTGCAAGTTCAATTCAGGTTGAACTCATCAGGTAATCACACTGGTATGTTTGAAGATAAGTGTTCTAACATAAAGGACAAAGAGCTGCAGGATAAAGTCTGTTGCATAGATACAAAGCCTATAGAAAGTACATCTGTATTCATCCTGTGTTTAAAAGCCATAATTAATCATAAGGACTGTGTTGTTCTTTTCTCACTTTCAGGCCCCAGAAAAACATTCCGATGGAATAGTCTCTCTCGCCATAGCAGCACATTACTTTTTTGGGGAAGATCAAAAGTCCCCTCAACTCTATGACTTACTAGAGAGGTTTCCAAACTGGACATTTTCTTCTGGTTGGTCCTGCACTTACGACCTGTTTGTCTTTTAATGTTGACAGTAACACAGCGCTAATAGGGTAATCTCTCCGATGCATAATGCTGTTGCAGCAAACACTTTCTAAGAAGATGCCAGAGACTTTCACAAGAGTTTAAAGTACTTTGGAGACAAATAGTGTTTCTTTGGCAGTTTGACTACTTAAAGACTACTGTTGTCTTGGGGATACAGTTCACTTTGGTTCTTCCACTGAAATGGCAGTTTGGCTAGTGGGTGTCTTAAAATGAAAACTGCAATTGAGGAGGTAATGTTAGCACAATATGGTGGCAATTGTGAATGAGCCTCATGGAATTATTTTGATGTCATGTAAAATATGCTGTACTTCATGCACATGTGGGGACTCTTACCTACCAATCCTATCCCTCCCATTAAAGCAAGACCTTCAGCTAAAAGATGTTTGTCCGCACGGGGTGGGGGCAGATGTGGCAAAGTCCTAAACATTACTTTTGTCACTGGATGAAGTCACTGAAAGCTATGATGCTTGTGTGGATTGCATTTCCAGTCCTTGGCAAATACACAATGCAGAAAAATCGGTGTTATGATGGAATGTGGTAATTATTTATCTAGATTATCTTTTCAAATAATACCTTTCTGTTAAAAAAATCCTTGCCTGTCTCGTCAGTGTTAGAACTCGGTAAGTTTGACCTAACTAACTATCATCCTGTAGTTTGGTTCCTGTTGGGATCTTTCAGTATCAGCATAAAAGCATGTGACTTGCTCTCTTGTATGTAAGAGTGTTAAGTCCCCACTCCTTTATGTGGATGTCTTACAGTTAATCTACTCTAAATATCAAGTTATCTTCTAACTTACTACAGTTGGCTAATATTTGGTATCATTTCCTCTGGAAAGACTTTTGATAATGTAACAGACAGATTGCACTTTGCTAATACATTTAACTGTTTCTTAAAATAAGGCTTGCTTTCCATAAGGAAAAATACATAGAAGAGTCATCTTTAACAAGATGTCTAATATCCTTGGCTTGCTCTTGTATTATTTCCACAAGATGGGTTTTATAAATGACTGAGTGATTTAGTCTTTTTCAGTTTCTTGGGTTTTTTTTTTACTCCCAGGTCTTTTTCAATGCAGTTAATGTTAGTTTCTGAAATTCGAAGAACTCTGTATCTGAAGAAACTTCTTCATGCTTTTTTCCAAACTATACGAGACATCAAGACTGCGTTAAAAATTTCTCTGATCAGTATTTTGTTTATCTCATGAGTATTGCCAAATTGCATGCAAAGCAGATTTTGTGCATGCATCATCATTTTGAGTAAAAGCATGCTAGTACTGGGAAGCTTGCAGGGCATGTGAAAGAAAACTGTGACACTAATTTGTGTGAGCTTTGGTGGACAGCAGCTCCCTGATCAGCTATTTACCTTCAAAATGTTCTGTAGTTATGTATGATGGTGACAAGAACCAGTTTCATTTGTTTTAAGGTACATTCACAAAGAAAGACTTGTCAACTGACTCATGGACTAGGGTAAGAGGTTTGATTACTGTAATCATAATGAACTGGTCATCAGTATCTGAAAACCAGTGGGTCTTTCTACATTAACAAACATGTGCGTTAATCATCACTCACTTGATTGTATCCAATTTGAAACTACAATCCCTATATTACACTTTTTTTTGGTACTGGAAAACGGAGTTTTAGTTCATGACTCTTGTGTCTTGAATCTCATCAAATGTTTTGTACTGTACTCTAGCTGATGCACAGCTAGTTAAGTAAAGTTGCGCTGGTAATTAACTGCCTTCCTCAGTTGTGAGTTTGTTGTTTTGCATCTGATATAAGGGAAGAAGTGCTGTCTGAAGAAATTGTACTGGGAGCCAAAAATATAAAATGCCTGTTAGCAATTTCTGAAACTTCAGTGAAGCAATAACTTTTGTTAACTCAGGATTTAACCCTTATTAAATAATTTAATTATGAGTTTGTTGAAAATTTCTGTCTCTGTAAATAAAAGTGAAATTTAATGAATGGAACTTGATTTTCAGTGGGACTAAAGGTGTATTTGATTCAGTTTTATTCATTCTACTACTGTTTTATTTAAGCTTTGGGTAGAAATACTGCTAAGTGATGCTTGAGTTAGGCAGCTAAGAGTTAGTGCTGCATGGAAGATATGCATGGCCGAAGAATGTAAAAATTACCTGAGAAAGGTTAAAATGAGGACCCTGGCTGAAGATGGAAGAGAGGAGGGTGGTTCTTGAAACAGGATGTGGTATGGAACAGTTGCTGGTTGCAAAGCTAAGTATCCTTTGCAAAAATGATACTTAAGAGCAAATTTATTGGTTATCAAAGGCAGAAAAACCAGATGGAAAACTTTTGTGTTTGAATGTCCATCTGCTTCCCCATTCAGTGCAAGATTAGTCTTCTGCTGTACATAATACAAACTGTAGTTTGTATTATGCGTCGTACTCTGTGAAACAAAAACAGCAAGCAGCTGGTACTTGTAATGATAGAAGGCAGGAGGGTACAGAAGTAAAGAAAGTCTTTATTCTTAATGGAGGCAGTAAGCAGCTAGTTGATTGGAATTGCCTACATTTATCCAAAACTGTCTACATGCACAGCCTTTTCTAAATTCCTCCACTTTTCCCTAATTCTTCCCTGACTTTTGATGGCTTTGAGAATCTATTATGTTCTGTATTAACATACATATTACTCTATTACATATCTATAGGAAAAAGGACTTCAGAAATAAGCATTTTATCAATTTAAGCATGTGGTTGCAAAGGAGACCCGAACATGTTGTGGTTATACAATTGAATGCAGCATTAGTGTCACCATACCTTCAGATTGCCTGTCAAGTAGAAGCATGCATTTGAAGAAAGTGTTGGGTTGCAAGCCCGTTGGAAAAACATTAATCAAATAGGGTTTTCTTTTTTTCCCTTGAGGGCTAAACTTAATCTAGTTCTTTATGATAATCCAGAAGGAGGCTGCAGGAAGACCCATCTTAGAACTTGATATGCAGTCTTAGTGAAGAATGGTTAAAGAGCCATGCAAGATCAGTAACCCTGTCACAAAACTGGGTGATTAGTCTGAAGTTGCCTAAGTGTGACTTCGGCTTTGAAGATAGAACATGGATTCTCAGACTTCATGGAATTCTTTCAGTCTCGAGGATAAATTAGTCCTAGAAATTACTCGGGCTTCCCTTTTCACTGCAGAAGAGGATCTGTTGGGCTGCAACACTCTGTGGCTCTGTCGGGCTGCAACACTCTGTGGCTCTGTCAAACCTTGAGAACATGCCAAAGATAAAGCTTGAGCAGGAAGTATAAGCCAGTTTAGGGAGATTCAGGTACTGCTACCTGTATTTCAAGCAGGGTGTTAATCACTGGCCATTAATGAGAGGTTTAAAAAGGGCAGCTTCAGAAAGCTGTTAAGAATCAGTCTAGAAAGCTAGCAGTGGTTTGTCAAGAAGTGAACAGCTCTGTCAAGTCTGCTCCGAGACCTGTAAACATACAACCTTTAAGCCCAGTAGGTGCATCTGAGTTTAACTAACTGTCCTAGGAAGCTGCCTATGCAAAGTTTATTCAGGAAAGTTGTTTTTTCCTGTGTGGGGTGATGCCATTTTTGATAGGAAACAATTTGAAAACAGTTACAAAAGTGGGGTTAGGTGCCTGATGTCTGAACTGTTCAGCTAGCTTCAGCCTCCAGTTGCAGGATTTTGTCAGGTCTCTCCTCAGAGGTCTCTGGTAGGAAACTCCTTAAGTTTACTTACTTCAGGTGATACATGATAAATAGAAAAGTCAGCAAGTTGTGTTTCAGAGTGTTGTGAGAAAGTTCCTCCCTTTTCTCTGTTTAAGCACTGGGACTATTTTTGCCACTCACCCTGAGCTGGCATTCATCTTGCTGCACACTAGGTCATTTTAACAGTCTTAAGCTCAGTAAGACAGTAAATGGGGTCTGTGGCTCGCTCTCTCTCTCTCGGGGGCTCTCCTTCCTTCAGTTGAAGTCATCTTACTACCCTCAACAAGTTACCCATAACAAAAGTTAACAAAGATAAGCAAAAAGTGAGAGACAGGGATTTGGAATTCCATAGAAAATGTTGATCCTCAACTTGTTAAATGGACCATTAGGTTGTGCACAGTTGTAGATGAATAAACTTATTGTCACAGGTTAACCTTCACTGGCTACCAGGTGCCACCAAACTGCGCTCTCAAGCCCTCTCCTCAGCAGGCCAGAGAAGATGAAGAAGCTCATGGATTCAATCAGGGAGATTAGTCACCAGTTACCGTAACAGGCGAAACAAACTGGCCTTGGGGAAAATTAATTTAATTCTTTGCCAATTAAAAATAGAGAAGGATAGCAACAAAGAAATTAAAAAACCCAACTTCCCCTATCTTCACAGACTCAACTTCACTCTTCTGCCTCCTCTTCCACAATGGTGCAGAGAGATTGGGGATGGTCAGTTAGGGGTCAGGTCATGGTCAGTTCATACCAGTTTCTCTCTGCTCCTCCTTCCTCCTCACACTGTTCTGCTGCTCCAGCATGGGGTCCCTCCCATGGGACAGAGTCTCTTGTGAACTTCTCCAGCGTGGATCCTCCTCTGGATGGGGTAGTTCTTCAGAAACAGTCTGCTCCAGCATTAGTCCACCATAGGCTGCAGTTCCTGCGTGAAGACCTGCTCCTGCATGGGTTCTCCCTGGCTGCAGCTTCCTTCAGCTGCCCTAATGTGGCATCTGCCACAGGCTGCAGAGTGGCTATCAGCTCCAAGGTGCTTCACAGTTGGATGTGGAGGGACAGCCTGCTCACCATGGTCTAATAAAGATTTAACTGCTAAACAACAGCAGCAAGATATCAATACTAAGAATGTTAATGTGTCAGTTAATGTATGTGTTCACTTGCACAGGTCCACAGGCAGCAGAGGATTTCCGCTCCAGCGCCTGGAGTGCCTCCTGTTCCTCACTGATCTCTTACAGCTGCTGCACAGCATTTCTTTTATACCCTTAGTAAGTGTATTACCGAGCACCACCAGGTTGGCTGATGGGCTTAGCTGCGGCGCA